ATTTTTTGATAGAAGAAAAAAGGAAGGAAGAAATTTTCATATTAAAGGAGTTTAATTTTTTATTTTGTTAGGTCAGTTAATTCATTCTGAAATTTTTTGCTTTTATTTTCTATTTTCACACAAACAAAATATGCTTTCCCATGATTTTCACCAAAAACTAAAATTTAAATTTAATTTTTGCCTTTATTTTCAACATTAGTACTCTCGTAAAATAATCACATATTCCATCATATTATCATCATTAATTTTGCTTACAATAAGCTGATTGCAGCCAGGAAAACTTTTAGTTACTATGAATTTAAGTGAAATAATTTTTTGCAGGATTTTTAAATAAACTATTAGTTGCAACCAAAATTTACCTTTCGAAATGCTATTAAGTATCAGAGAGAAAAAAAATAATTGATTATATTAGTTGAATAAAAATGAAAAAAGTATTGAAGAAAGAAAATTCAATTATATGTTGTATATTAAAATATTTTAGGATATTTTGACTACTTTCTGCACAATAATTTTTTTTTAAATTCAAATCTAAACCAATATGCTCTTTTCTTTTCTCTAATCCTTTTTGCTTTTTTTAATAAAAAATTTTGGTCATTTCATTTGACTTGCTATCAATATTCAGTAAATGATTAAATAGTACGAAAATGTGTGAAAAAAGCTGTAAAATACGGGATGTTCAAATTCCAAATCACATATTCCGGATGTAAAATTCTGAACCATAAATATATATGTATGTTGTATTATTTCAGGTTATTTTAAAGGAAAAATTTAAAATGAAGCAAAATTTTAAATCAGAGATTAGAAAAAAGAAAGAAATTTTTTCGATTTACATACTTCTGCGACAAATTTCTAATAATTTAGAGTTTATTGATATTTTCAAAAATTTATGACAACAATAAATTTGTTAGCATTTTATAAGTATGCAAATACATTTTATAGCCGTTATTTTAATGGCTAAATTTATTGTTCATGCAAAATTTTATCAAACAAACCATTGAAAATGGCATATTTTTGTTGTGTAAATCGAGCGAATGAGTGTAAAGAGTGAGAAGCTATTGTGGCTAAAATCGAAACTCAGCCATTTCATATCAAATAGTAAATTATAAATTATACATTCTACTCATATATATATATATATATATGATAGCATTGACCAACTTTTCAATCAATCAATCAATCAATTAGTTAATTTTAATCAATTAGCAGAATAGGGAAGAAAAAAATTTGTTATCACATTACTTAATTTTGGTATTTGAATTTTGATTAATCATCAAACATATTAATCATTTAAGCGATCAATCAGTTAATCAATCAGTCGTTGAAATATTATTATCAGCAGAGCAAAGAAAAAAGTGTAATATAAATAATGATTTGTTATTTTTAACCTGAAATTAATAAATAATATAAAAATATTGTGGACATGGGAGAGTTTCAAGTTCCGCATTATAATAATCCTATATCGCTTCATTTTAATTTTTAAATTAAATATTAAAAAATATTCTTAAAATGATTAATGCTCGCTTCAAATTAAGCATACACTTGAAATTTTGCATAATTTTTGGATGAAAAGAAGATATTTTCCAAAAATTTTACATCAATTTAATTTTTAATTTCTGGAAAAAGATCAACACACAAATTTGAGGCGCAAGCATTCTAATATGGCTATGGCACAAATAGTTGAAATTTAAATCAATTTCAAAATTTTTTGTGATTTAAAATTTCATGATTTTTTAAGTAAACAAACTTCTCGTCATAGAAAATTTTAAAGATAATTTAAATAAATGCATTGAATTAACACCATCCTATCATAATTTTCGAATCGCATTGCCATATTTTTAATTTCAAATTTCAAAATTTTTTTGATTAATGAATTGATTTTCATAACATTTTAATTAATCAATTGAGTGTACACGGTACTTTTTGTCAAAGAATAAATTCCGAAATTTTCTCGTCATTACAATTATATTAATTATATATTGTATATCGTCATTACAATTATATCATCATATTTGCTTTTAAAAGACAATCATAGTAGCTTACGTAAATTAATTAAACAATCACACTATTTTTTAAATATATAAAATATTTCGAAACTTCTTTAAAATTCATTGTAAATAATGTATTATTAAAATTGCTACCATAATTGGATAATGATTAAATATTTACTTTTTTTATAGACAAGATGAACTTATTTCATTAATTAGCATTTATTCTGGAAAAAAGAAAAGGAAAGCATTCGTTCATTGCAATCAAATATCACTGGTATTTATCAAAATTCTATAATATCATTGCAAATTTACAATAGGATAAATCCAAATGTTTCATAATTAATTCAATTCTAACAATCTTATAACCGTTTTCAACGAAGAGAAAAATTTTCATGAATAAAAAAAATAAACACATTCAAATTGAAAAAGAAAAAAAAATGAATCAATTGTTAACAAACAAAATATCAAGCAGCAGACGTGTACATTTGAGCTAATTAATCAAATTTTATTTTAAATATTTCCATTTTCTATGTACTGTAACAGAAATTTTTTAAAATCTCTCTTCAATCAAGATCAATAATAAATTAGTTATTTCAATTCAAAAAAAGATTCGTAATATCATAAAATGTAGCTAATTAGTAATTAATCGATGAAATAATCGAATTATTCATCATTATAAAAAAAACTGTTAACATTTTTTTTTTCCTTTTTACAGTACCATATAAACACTATTACTTGTATAAAACTTAATAAACTTTTGAATAATTTTGCTCTCAGATTTAACTTTATTAATTTCAAACTTCAAATAAAGTCAATGGTGCAACTTTTTCTCTCAATAAATTTCATTTTTATGTTTGACTTCTGATTTTAAATAATATTTATTTTATAGAATAATAGTTATTTCCTTATAACTTTCGCTTTTTTCTTTTAATTACTGGAATAAATCAAACAGATAATATTAATTAGCAAGAATAAAAAAGAGAAAAAAACTGTAGTATTCTTATTAAAATAATTGAGCGTTAAAAGGCAAACAATTGAAATTTGTATGTGCAAAAAGAATTTAATACAAATAAGCTATATATCACTAATAAAACAATAATAAAAGAAAAAATACCACCTTAAAAAATAAAAAATGAATAAAAAATGGAATGTTTCACCATCATTTACCAATGTTGCAAAATAAATAAATAAATTTAAAAGTGAACAATGCTTAAAGATAAGAAATATTGTTTAATTTAAAATTTAAAAAAAAGCTTATTTTGTAATATTTACAACTTCTTACTTATAAATGTAAAAATAAATGATGGGATAACCTTCCGTAAAGTATACATACAAATACCTCTCTGTATTAATTCGTACGTTTGGTGTCCGAATGATGATATTATTATTTAATGAAATTCAATTAAAAAAATTTTATCCATGTATTAGTAAAAAACCAAAAAAAATGAAAGTTTTTTTACAATTAAGAAAGGTATTACGGTAATTATGTGGTTAAAGTAACGCTAATAGTCGGATCAGTTTATCGTAATCCAGAAAGTACTGTGAAAAAAATAGGAAAAAAATTTTTTTTTTTTGTGGTAAACAGGAAAGGCAATATGTTATTAAACCGGATAACGGCACCAACCGAATGAATTTATCATGAGGTGTAATTTATTGAGAACGTATGAGTGAAAGCTGCAAATAAAGCAAATGGAGAAAAACAAATAATAAATCATAACAATAATTAATAATAGCAATAATAATAATAATGATTGTAATAATAATGATTCACACAATATTATTACTACATATCACCTTTTTTTCATGAACTGAAATTAAAATTTAAAAATCAAAAAACTAGGAAGAGAAAGAAAAAAAGGAAGAAATGAACCCGAAATATTACAATCAATGCTGATAATTAATGTTTTTTTTTTCATTTTTTAACTTTTTTTTTCAGTTGGAAGGAGGATATTTAAGGGAGGGCAAAAAAAAAAAGATAGAAATTGTTAGCGCTGAAAAAGAAAAAAAAAAGTAAATCCTATCTCAAAAAAAAATTTTTTTTTAAAATTATTGCTAAAATGGAACTATCAATTAGTAAAATATTAAATTTCAAACTTTTTTCCTCCTTAACTTAGAATTCATTCTCGTCTTTTTATAGCTTCAAAAATTTAAAAGGAGACGAGAAGAGAAAATATGGATGGATGATTCATACGATGCGACAAATGAATGAAATATGTATTTTTTTTTTAAAATGAATAGTTGAGCTTTAGAAAACTCTAAAGAGAGAAAGAGAGAGATGGAGGAAAAAGAAAAAAACATATCTCCCTGATAAAAGTAAAAGAAGGCAAGAAATTGACTTAGACGAAAAAATTAAATGAAAGCAAATCGAATGAAATGTGTAAAAATGAGTTAATAAGTTCAGGAGAATCTTAATATGTTAAGCAAAAAAAAAAAATGAAAAAAAGGAAAAAATGAAAGCTATCAAATTAAACTAATAATAATTTCTTTTAGATATTAAAAAATTACTCAATTAAATGTAAAAAACGAATCATCAAATCTTAGAGAATTTTAACGAGTAATATTTTAAATGAATTGGTAAAAAGAGGAAGGTAAAAAAAAAAAAATTACATATTAAGATAAAAAACATAATAGTAATCATATTGGAAAATTCATTCTATTCTAGTATTTATTATGGAATGTGCTAAAAATTTAATGGCAAAAATTTTTTTAATAAATTTGAAATACAAATTACATAATAGAGGAGAATGAGAAATGAAAGAGAAAAAAATTTTTCATAATTACAATTCTTTTTACTACTCAACTCACTAATACTTTACAGTACTTGTAATTCAACTGTTAATAATTGATATTTGAAAGATATATGCGATTTGATTTCTAATCATTAATACTAATATACAGTATTTACAATTTAATACTTGCAGTATTAATGATCCTATAAATATGTTGGAGTACAGTAATCCTGGAAATGCGTATCCTACAATAAAACACTAATCAATTCGTCCAAACTGTTGCTTAAATTACTTCACTTGTTGTTATTGTTGTTATTGTTGTTGTGGTAGGTATAGTAGTATTATTATTGGTTTTATTATTGGCTGCTAAACATATGACATCATTTGGAACAATTTTTTTCGGTGTAAAATTTTTACGACGTTTTTTCGCCAATACAATATCATTATTAGTAGTAACAGTAGTAGTAGCTACTGTTGACGTTGCCGCTGTTGTTGTTGCATTCACTTTTGTAATATCATTGGAACAATACATATTAGTATTTGCAACAGTATGATCAGAAATTTGTGATGTTGTAGATGGTGATGATAACATGCAAGATGAATTTTCCATGATAACAGAACTATTACAGCAGAGAGAATTACTATCGGTTTGATTTACAAAATTCTCGATAATATTGCTACTACAATTACTGCTGCTATTAATTAATTTTGGTGCAATTGTAGAAGCAGAATTAGTGACTTGAAGAGTAATATTATTACGCCGTACAAAACGTGCCACCCAACCCTGTAAGAAGAAAAAATGTTAATTATCATCAAGAAAATCAAAATCTTATTAAATATAATTTAACAAGAAATTGATCGTATTAAGAAAGTACTGAATACTTTAAAATTGTACAAAGTTAATTTATAACAAATTATAATGCTAATAAAGATTAGGTTATAAAATTAAGCTAAAATATTAACATAAAATAAAATAATAATAAAATGTAATCGCACACATTCAAATTTTTAGAATATAATTTAAAAAAAACTTTTTTTAGCGCTGAAGAATTATTTTTAATTTGAAATATTACCAAGAAAAAGAAATGCCTGAAGCAGATAATTTTAAATGAAAACATTATCCCTTTGCGTTTTTTTTCAAACTTGTCATGATTTAAATTCTTTTCTTTTATGGTAACAAAACTTTTTGCTCATGCTTTTTCTATTCGAATAAAAATATGCAATGACTTTAAAA